TAAAAATCTTTTGTAAGTTACGTTCTGCTGGCCCTGTTAACTCGTTTAATTTATTTGCTGCCAGGGAGCTTTCACGTTTTATTGCAGCTGGGAAACTTCATTGTAAGATTGATAGGTTGCAGGAGTTCTTGAAACGAACCGCCCTGATGCCAAGAATGCTCTATACCAAGCAACTATCAAGCAAGGGGACTTCCTGTTGAACCGGATTCAAAAGTTGTCTCGTGTGATTGATCTTTAAAGTTAAGTCTTCTTTTGCAATTCATCGTTATAGACAAAAAAATTGTGGAAAAGGAAGAGAGATACAGATAGATTCAAGGATTTTCTGTTGAATGCGTTTTACTAGAGGACATGATACGCTGTATTCTATTTGATTTGCTAACTAGTGAACAATTTAGCTTGCTGGGTCTTAGCTGTCTCAATCCAGTTTCCAATTATCTTTCGAACAAAAATTTATTTTGTTATGAATTTGTGGTGTTTAAATGCTTTCCTATTTTAGTCATTTCGCAATTATGCCTTTGTCTTCTTAGTGGTTTTTGTTTTATCATTTGCATGTTACAAAGTTTCAATGTATTATTATCCTAAGAAGAATCTTCAATCTTATTTATCTATACAAGTTATTTACCAGCTAAATTTCTGTCTTTAATTAAATACATACAAAACTCTTATGGGAAGTAAGATGAATGAAAATTCAATCGAATGAAGATTTTCGAGATCACGAGACTCTGTTCATTCGCATACAAAAAGTATTAACTGGAAAATCAGGGGTCACTCGGACGCTTGTAAACACGTTGGATCATAGAGGGAAGGCATCTTGCAGGGATATCATCCATGATGAAGGTGAAAACCGGATTTTAAATGCTTTACGAGAAAACGAAAAGCCAGATACGCACAACAAAACTAAAAGCTATTCGTTGTGGGCCAGCTCCTTGTAGCTTAAGAACAAGAATTATTGCTACGCAAGTGAGAGGTCATTAGTGTTTATTCCTTGGGCCCAAAAAAAGGATATTCTTCATGGTAGTGAGATTGACAAGGTCACTAGGATTAAGGTTACATGAAAACTAAAGCTTACCACGAATTTGTAGATGCGGTGAGTTTGATTCAAAAAGAATTCTTTTTATGTCCCTTTGAGGATCTCTGATAAAATTGGAATGATACAGAGAACATTAGTCTTGTTGACTAATACGTTCAACCAGATAAGACATCTAATTAATTGGGATTGGTTGATCGCTTCTAGCCACATGTTAAAATGAGTGAACGGTTGTGTGGATCGGATTGCCCATCAGCCTTACCGTTTATACAGAGTTTTGAGTATTGACATTTTTGACGTTTGCCACGAGACACATACTCCTGTTAAATTTTCTTTCTTGCGTGTGGCCCGTTGCCACAATCCTTTAACGAGGTATGAATTTTCTTCTGGTTGCATAGAACTTTTTGAATATTTATGTTAATTAAACTAATACACATCAGACGCCTGCGTGTCCGTCATGTAGGATTTTTCGATCAATCTTCAGCTGAATCAACAAGGTAACGGTCAAACGAGACTTTTCTGTTAGCTTGGGATGTGGACGCACCGTTTTAATTAGTTTGGGACACTAGATGCACCAAAAATTACTTTATGACACTGGACGCATATGGGAAAATAGTTCAGGGTGCTGGGCGCACCTTAACTCGTCAAAATAATACACATCAGACGCCTACGTGTCCGTCACGTCAGATTTTTCGGTCAACTAATGGTCAAACTTAACTTTTTTTGTTAGCCCGGGATATAGATGCACCGTTTTTAATTAGTTTGGAATACTGGATGCACCAAAAATTACTTTAGGACACTGAATGCACCTGGAAAAATAGTTCGGGGTGCTAAACGCACCTTAATCCTAGAACTTTTTGAATATTTCAAAATTTAAATTCAACTCCCTTAATGTTTAATTTTTTTATTATTATGGACCCCTTATTGTTAATTCACCGTTATCTTTGTAAAAGAATTTGCCACATTATATTTACACAAGACACTTCACATCCTACGTGTCATGTTACATGGCATCATATCTAAATTAATTTTATAAAACTCCTTTGAATTTTCAGCTAATTGCATATAAATTCCCTGTCATTTTAATAGTAAACCTCCTTTCATTACTTTTTTTCCCCTATTTAATGCTTGTCAAAACCTACTCATTATTTTCACTGTAACATTTTTATAATGTTATGATCTTATTTCACAATCTTAATAAATTTATTAAGATTTTGGCAATCGTTTATTAATTAAAATAGTAATTTTTGTGTGACAAAAAATAGAAGAAAATGTTATTTAAAAATTTATGTTGACAAAAATATGAGAATAAAAATGAGCAACAGTGTTTTTTAAGTGATAAAATGACATTTTAATCCTTATATAAAAACGATATAATTACTATAAAACGATTATATTAGATAGGATGTCATGTAAGATGCCACGTAAGATACAAGATGTCTTATGTTGATCTGACGTAGCAAATTCCATTAAAAAGATAGCAGTATAAGTTAACGGTAAGGTGTTCATGATAAAATAACAAAAGATTAGGAGATTAAATTTAAATTTTAGAATATTAAGGAGGTTATATGCAATTGACTTATAGTTCAAAGAGTTTTGTATAATTTAGCTTCTTCTTTTCTTTAAATTAATTAGAAAGCGAATGGCTTATTATAAGCTGTAGTTTAAGAGGATAACATTCGTCGCTTTCCTTCAAAGAAAAGCATGAAATCGCCATCTCATTTATTCAGTAAATTTAAGTGAGTCATTGCTGCTTATAGCATTTTATTGGGCGAATCCATGGCCATTAAAATGATCTCCATGGAAAGGTTCCAAGCGCAACATAACTGCCATGACAAGCCAAAAAAAATTAAAATAAAAAAACAAAAAGAGCATTAATTGATCCACAAAAACGGATACGCCAGAGGCAATAAATGAATTAATGAAAGTAATGAAAGTGAAATGTTTCTTTTGGAACTTTGGAAGAGGAAATATAGGCCAATGCATTAATTAGATTCTGGCATTCTGGTGCAAGAACAAGAATTAGATTTTGCTATGAACCTATTTCATATGGAGAAGTAATTTATCTAAAAGTTAGAATGGAATTAGAAGGAATTTTAAAGTTTACAAATTAAAAGCAATTTTTTTAAAAAAAAAAAAGAGCAAAGGGTAAATCTAAGTTCAGATCGAATCAATGAATTAAAAATCATAGTCCTCCACCAAACTCGTAGAGATATCAATGCTAGTCATAGTCTGAGGTTTAACGAACAAGAATCCAGAAGAATACCAACAAGAGCCACAAAGAGGCACCACAACTTTTCCGAGCAGACAATAAGCGTCGGAAAGTACCAAGATTCTTTAAGCACGACTCCACCAAAATGGCCCCATCATTTTCATCCTCCCCTTCCCTTCCGCGCCTCCTTTTCCTTTGCGTCCTTCTTTCTTCTTCTAATACTCCTCCGGTCCTAATTATAAGACCCAATTGACTTATTTGAAGAGATTAAAGAAGTAAATTAAATTGGTTATTTATAATAAATAAGTGTTGTCATTCCTAAAATATCCTTGCTAATTAAGTATATTGGCTAAACTATCATATTAGAAGGATTATCTCTGAAAAATGTATAAATATAAGAAATAAAATGGATTGGGGTCTTATAATTAGGACCAAATAAAAAGTCAAATGGGTCTTATAATAAGGACCGGAGGAGTACCATTGTTATCTAAATCTTGTTAGATAACCGCTTTCTATGTGCTCAGTTTTGATTCTAAATATAAGATATAATTTTCATATTTATTAATTTTTTTAAATTATCCCTATAAATACTCTTTCAATCATAATCAAGGAGAAGATGGAGAAAGTATTCAGAAAAAGATGATTATGGTGTTTAGAAAAAAAATGTCACATTTCTTATAATTAACTAACTTACCTAACTCTCTTAATCTAATCAAATTAGTTAAATGGGTCTTATATTAAGAACTGGAGAAGTATTTTTTTAAAGGGACAAGCTAACTAACATCATGATACTTCACATGGATACATATATGCTAAGCAAAATAGAGGCAGGGTATCCAAAGTCATACAAAGTTTAAGGTATTTGAATTAGCATATTTTGAGTGATTTCATCAGGGCTTTGTCTCATAAAATGTAAAATATTTTTTACATGGTTGAGATTTTGTAACTTAATTGACATCAATCACTTCGCTCAAAACTTTCTTGAGCATGAGGTTATAAGTTTGAACCATCAATTCGGCCAAAAAAATGTTTGAACCATAAAAAATGTGAGCTTTGACCAAATTTTTTTTAAAGATGATCTTCAAAGTTCAAACACCCCTTATAATTAATTGTTTGTTTTTTCCCCTTAATGGCCCATAAATCTTGATGAGATGTATAATTTTGTCTGAAAAATACAAAATTTATGAAATCAACCTAATTTTTATAATAAGCAATTATAAGAAATAATTTTTTTTTGTTAGAATAAGAAATAAATATTCCTCCGGTCTTAATTTTTTTAAAACTTTTTTTAATGTAAATTACATGTTTTGCATTTAGAATAGGAAGAATATAAAATAAGTAATTTACATTTTTTTTCAGAAGGTAAATTTATTTATGTATAAACAATAAATCTTGAGTGATACTCAGATCTATTTAACTAATTTGATTAGATCAAGAAAGTTAAGTAAATTAGTTAATTATTAGAAATATAATATGTTTTTCTTAAAATACTATAATTATATTTTTTAATATCTTCTCTTCCTTACTTACTTGATTATGGTTGAAAGAGTATCTATAAGAATAATTTTGAAAAACTGATAAATATTAAAAATAATTTTTATATTTGAAATCAAAATTAATTTAATAATTAGGTTGTAAGAGTGGATGAGTATTATTTTGCCAATCCTAGTAAATCTTGCATAGATAAGCGGCAGAGATGTTCCTTACCGATCTGCCTTGGTTTAAAAAGAAAAAGAGAAGGAAATGACAAAGGCATCCAAATCCTTCTGTAGCCACAATTTCTCAGTATGATATGCCATATCCTTCGACATAGCTAAAATTTCGTCACTCTCAGCAAGACAGAGCAGTGGCCACTAGACGCTATGCTGCCTCTGCCTCGTCTCGATGTCAACGACATTAAGGAGAAGCTCTCGTCCCACTTCAGACCTTGGCATCGCTCCTATCAGTTCTGGGTTCGGGCCATTGATATTTACACTGGTTATAAGGTTTCTGATCAATCAGCTTCGTCTCTGCACGTATTGGCTTCGACTTGAAAACTTCGTATTCATTCGGAATTTCTTGCAGGTGTTCCAACTTACGGTGAGCTTTGAGAAGGATGCGCAGAAGCAGGAAGCATTGTGGGAAAAACAGCATGAGCTTGCTGCTGATAAGATATACTGTATGTGCGCCGACCTTGGAGGTTTCTTTCTCAAGGTATTCGATTTGTTTGTTTTTTTTCCCATGAATCTCGTCATGAAGTTTCATTCTTTTGCTCGTGAATGTTGATTATGAGTGAGATAGACGTATAATTCGGACGGGCTTTGCTTGCCCCATTTCATTTCTTGACATGGTTGCTTTGATTATTGTTATTCCTCTCTCAAATCGAGAACGAATTTCTTTTCCAGTATGTTTTACTTTTGTTATAATGCATATAAAATAGTTATATTATATTATTACTTTTTAGAACGAGAGGATGAAAGTGGGCTGACTTCCGTGGCTTGTGATCAGTCTACTTTATGTAGAAAATTACAATGACTTTTAGTTTTAGGGCACTTTTGTGGTCGTTGGATTTTTGTTTATTTCACTGCTACCCATTTTTCTCTTGGTTCTGTTCTCTTTTCTTATTGCCGATATTATATTTGGGGGGTCATATGAATTATCAAACAGGTCGCCCAAATTATAGGGAAGCCTGACTTGGCCCCAGCGGCATGGGTGAGAAGACTTGTTACCCTATGTGATCAGGCTCCTGCAACCCCATTTCACACTGTTAAACTAGTGCTGGAGAACGAACTGGGTCGGAATATTGATGATGTGTTTGAAATGTTGATGTGGAACCCTTGGATCTGCTTCAATTGCTCAGGTACTTCCGTCTGAGTGAAAATGACCTGCTATTTCATCTCTCCCATACAGGATGCCCATCATTTGAGTTGCAGCAATTCTGTTCTCTCTTGACAACACCTGTTTATGCCTTTTTTGCATTCGATTGAATTATTTCCCTAGTGTGCTTGAGAACTAATGAAAGATGATTATTTTTGTTCCTGTCATCAGACTAATGCAGTAACTGATGCTGTCTATACATTTATGATTGAGTATAAAAGGTCACATCAGAGGTAGAATTGGCTCAAGGATTAAGTTTTTTCGCTCATCAGGGTGCATCTACTTTAAGTTTGTATCTCATGTTAATCACAAGTTACTTGTGGGTTTTACTGCACTTTATATTTTGTTTATTATTCTTATCATGTAATTCAATCAGGTGATAGAATAATTTAGTCTTCAAGTTTTTAAACCTCATTGGAATTGCAGTTTTATTAAAAAATTGCATATATAAATACCTTACTGCAGTTCATATTGATTCTCTTGTCACGTTTAATTCTCCATTAGATTGATTTATAACAGCCTTATCGTGATCATGAGAACAAGTCCCCACCTAGTGGGATAAGGCTTGTTGTTGTATCTGACACATGCTACATGCTTGCGTTAGGTACATAGAGCACAACTGAAAGGTGATAAGGATGATGTTGTTGTCAAGGTGAGTGTTTCTGACAGGCACCTCGCGGACCACAACGTTTGTATGCTTCTGACTTTTGTTTGCATTAATAGGTTCAACATCCTGGAGTTCAGGATCTAATGATGACTGATATCCATAATTTGCAAGCTTTTGCTTTATATATGCAAAAGACCGATATCAAATTTGACCTATATTCGGTGACAAAGGAAATGGAAAAACAGGTAAGCAATATTTCTGTTCTAGATTTCTTCTTGGGTTCTAGTATTCTGTCAGTGTCTTATCTACTCTTCTCTTGTTTTCCTGTATAGTGGGTCTTTTTATTAAGATTTTCCCTGATTGTAGTTCCCTGAGCAAAGATGGACAAATACATGGGATAATTGCTCAATCTGTTTTTTAATTATATATTCAAGTCCTATTGTCAACAATGAAATGTACCTTGATTATGCACAGAGGATATGACAGATGATGGGATTAGAATGCAATTCTTAATAGAAATATTATTATATCTTTTACTTTGTTGCCTTACAATTTTTGTGAATTAGCTTTATTTTTTATGTTAAAAGTAATACCATCACGTTAGAGTAATGCTTCTTACACAATCTTCCTAGCTCTGCACAAAATGCTGATGTGACTGCATCTAAGTTTGCAGAAAAGGTTTTAGTTGGGCTTCTTTGAATTCAAAATCACCCACATCAGCTGTTTGTGCAGTTTCTGAAAGTAGTTACAACAGTGTAAGTGGCATTACTGTTCAAGTCAATCTTAAGATCCTTCTTGCTAAATACCATAGTTAGTTTTGAGCTTCTAGTTGATACTGTTCGATCATTTTGACATTCTAGATCGGATATGAATTTGATTTCGTGAGGGAGGCAAGTGCTATGGAAAGGATTCGGAAGTTCCTGTATGAAAACAACAAAAGGACTCCTGTTCTGGTGCCACGAGTAGTACAAAACTTGGTTACTAGGTATGTTCTACAACATTGCATTTTTATATGTTGGGATGATAATTTAGGACTAGAGTACAAAAATTAACCATCGTATTTTTGTAGAGTTTGGAGCTCCACGTATTTGTTTGTTGCCCTTGGATTGCATGGTTATTTTAGAGTTGGCTTGAATTTTGTTTCCAAAGCCAAATGTTAAATGCTTCTCAGTGCTAGCTTTGCTAATTTCTTTATGGCTGACCTGTAATTTTTTTTTTTTTTTAATTCTCTTCATTTTTTCTTAGTAGTTTTGTAAATTTCTTTGGTGACGATAGCTTTGTACATTCAATAGTTTGGCTAATATTTATTCAAACAAAATAGCAAATAGTGAAATGCTTTGGGAGCTAGAATGATGAGCAGTCAACTTCGGGTGCATAGTCATGGTCTATGCCTGAATTCTCTACTGTAAAAATCTAGGATCATGTCAAGGACAATTTCTTTTATCATGTCATAACAACCTCAATGTGTGATTGAAAGCACTATAGTTGACAATAACAACTAAAAAACCTTTATTAAAAACAACATCTGACACGTATTGTCTAGTAAAGAGTTTATTTGCTATATTGAAATATTCATAGAACAGGTATACAATAATCATATGTACTTCATTTATGATAGAGTGATTAGTATTTATGTACTTTTCTATAACAGGAGAGTCCTAGTCATGGAATATATTGACGGGATTCCAATTATGAATCTTGGTGATGAAATAGCAAAAAGAGGCATTAATCCTTGTGGTAAGCTAGCAGCAGCAGCAAAGCAGTAAGTTCCTGAACTGTTTTGATATTTTTAGTCCTCCATGTGAAACCTTGAATTTTGGGTTTTAAAAAAGTGTCATATTCTGGGAATTTGGAAAGAGTAATGTTGGCATATTGAACTTTTCGTGTTATGTATACTGAATTTTTGGACTAGAAGACTTGCTGCTAGATACACGTCACTGGTGCTTCTCTTTTAAATTTAATAAATGACAATGAAATTATGATTTTCAACGTATCATTTTACTGTTTGATCCATTACTTTATTACAATCTTGTGCTTATTCAGTGTCTTCTTTAAGGAGTATTTTTGACTTTTTACTTCCATATTTTCCATTTATTATCTCATTCTGCTTCCTATTTATTTTTTAGCCAAAATGCAAGTGACTCCCCACAAAGCAGGGTGTCGTTAGCTGTAGAATTCTGAAACTTCCAGTTTCTGAACAACTCAATTTCGTTTTTTTGTTTCATATATCAAATAAGACCAACATAAATAAGAAGTGAGATCCATAATTACGTGACCTCAAGTCCCTCGATACAAGCATGGTAGCATCAACTAATAAGAACTTATGAATGACAATAGATGACCAAAAATATGGTATATAAAACAGAAGGAAATAATACAAAATGAGACACAATCACCTCAGGAGTCATGCACCAGTAACACACGGACACTAGCACTCTCTCTCGAGTTGGTGAATGGATATTGTTCTTTACCAACTTGTCATTTAAGTATTCAAAATTCACTCTAGATATAGCCTTGGTCAAATTGTCAGTCACGTGGAATCGTGTGGGAGTACGGATAAGATATTAAGATTGATGATTTCAGAGTTTAACTTCTCCTTGATAAAGTTCTAATCAAGCTCCACATGTTTGGCCCGACCATGATGAATAGGATTCTTTACAGTGTCTATAGTAACCATATTATCGCATGACGCTCTCATAGGACCCTTCCTTTAAAGTTTAGGATCAAAAAGAAATTTCAGCCTGCTTTTTGCTTCTCGATGCTACCAGGTTTCACCACACATAAATGCAATACCCTTCTGTTGATATCCTACCAATTATAGAGTTGTCTCCATGCATCTCAATACCTCACTTTCTGTCTTGAAATTTATAGCTTTACCGTGAGTCATTTTAAGGTACCTGAAAATCTTGTACAAAATTTAGATGCGTAGTTGGATGTAAGCTTGTGAAAATTACAATATTAATCTTTTATTAAAGTGCAGGAAAATTCTTGAAAGCTTGACTCTAGCATATGGTCAAATGATTTTGAAGAGTGGATTCTTTCATGCAGATCCTCACCCAGGAAACATCCTGATTTGTAAAGGCTCAGAGGCAAGTCTCTTAATTGGATCATTTCTTTTATTTTATGAATATCCTCTTTGTAAATATTAAGACATTTAATCACCAGGAAATGCCGTTGGATATGACTTTAGCTGTTTGGTCCGCTGGCTATGAATAAATAACTCCGTGGCAGAATATTGAAAAATTAACATTCGCCTTGATGCTTAATATACTGTTTTCATCACCCTAATCTGGTATCTTGCCTCTAGTCAGGTTGCCTTGCTAGACTATGGACAGGTGAAGGATCTCCCAGAAAAGTTGAAGCTTGGTTATGCTAATCTTGTTCTTGCAATGGCTGATGGTGACGCTATAAGAGCATCAGAAAGCTTTAGGTTATGAAGTCTGCATTACATTCTTAAAGACTTATTTGCTTATATGTCTAGACTCGGAAGTGAAATACAAAGCTAAGGCTTAGTGGCTGAGTGACTAACTACATATGCAGCACTGCAGGATATGGGTAATGAAAACAAGGACTAGAAGTTAAGGAGTTCTGGTAATGAGTAGATAGCAAACGACACAGACAAGATATATGAGAGTGGGGAAAGGCAGGGTGTAAGGAGAGGAAAAATTCTCAACCACTTGATATCTTTTCATAGACCCCTAGTCCTAGGGTACCTAATACCTTTCAACAGCTGAATCATAATTTCCGTAAACCTGGAGGCTGAAACCCTGACTTGAATTTCAATTCATTTTCAATGAAATGAAAGACTGAGACATGAATTGATATAAAAGCTTTATGAACCAAATATTGAAAACTTCAGTAAACATCTAACATAAAATCTGATTCTTTTGGCATATTTCTTGTTCCACTTGTTTCTCTATCCTTTAAAAGAAAAAAAATGATTAACCAATGGCTGGTTAGAATGACTTATTTTGCTTCAGAACTGCAAATTGAATTTCCTCATTCTATTGGTGGCCGTCTCAAATCTGAATATTCAATTGGTTCACTCCCCTTTAATAGGGAGCTTGGTATAGACACCTTGAGCAAATGTGAGAATGAGCTACAGGAGATGTTCAAGCTGGCACAGACCATGTTTGATACAAAACTTCCTCCTGGGGTGGCGATGCTGCAACCTTTCTCAGAGGACTCTTCAATAAAAAAAATTGCTGTTCAGGTATGTTTAAGAATGTGAGTGGGCATTCAGTATTTGTTCATTTTTACACCACGCATTTCTGATGTGGCATGCTATTAGGGGCATGGTGATAATCTTGACTCTTGGGAAATTTGTTATCAAAGAATGGATATATTTTTCCCTTTTAAACTGGGGATATTTATGTTTATGGAATAAGTAGCATATGGCTTGTTCACACTTGACACTACTACTTTGTGTTCCCTGACTTTGTACTTTTCCTTTGCTGGTCTGTTATAGGCTTTTCCCGAAGAACTCTTTTCTGTACTTAGGACAGTGCATCTACTGAGGGGACTTAGCGTTGGTCTCGGAATCAATTATTCATGTGCAGAACAATGGAGACCCATTGCTGAGGAAGTTTTGTATCAAGCTGGCAGACTTAAAGGTATAACTCTAGGCTTATTAAAATGGATGGCATATGAGCCTTATGATGGATTTTGATCCAACATCATCTGTGTTGCCTAATAGCATTCCTTGCATATTTTTTCTCCCTTGCATTTACAGATCACTTCTGATCTTCATATTCATCAAGATATTTAACCTTTTTTGTGTCTGATCCACCTGGGTGTATTTGTGTCCTGTTAGAACAACTATATCTAACTCACTCGACTTTTTATGTGCGATCCTTTTACAGGTAAGGATGTCAAGCCCAAAAGACGCGGACGAGGTTTTGTAAAAAGATTATTTAGGAGAGACTAATGACTTCTGACATGACAAGGGGGAGGCATCAATCTGCCTGTTCTGGTTTGTTGAGAAACTTGCCTATTCTTTGTTTATATTTGCGTGCGAATTCGTTTATCTCTTGTATATGGTATATGAATTTGACATTGATGGCCACTAAAAGAAAACGTAGGGCCTCTTGAGAGCTTGATGGTGCCGTTGGTGCTGTATTCCAAATTCATCTTTGAATAGATGCAATGTCAAAGACATTTTTGTTTAATGATTTTTTTCTTTAAAGACAAAATGATTTATAATAAAAAGATAAGTAAGAGTACAAAATAAGGAAGTGGACAAAGATGTCGACTACATAAAGAAAAGAAAAAAATTCCTTTGACAAGCCTTAAAAAAAAAAACTAGAGAAGAAATTTTGCGTCGTGTGAAAGATGTCATGCCAAAGAGTACATGAAAGAGAGGAAACAAATTCTAAAGGCGCAAGTTCAAACTTGTTGACAATGACGGATTCCATAGAATCAGGATCCAAGGAGTATTAGCCTGAAATATCTAGCTTAAAGCTCCGCAAAGTGAAGAATGAACAAAGGAGGGCTAACGGATTCCCTGTCAGTTAAATTATGTTGGAGAAAGCAGATGATATCTTGACGTTGGATCATTCTATCTCTCTTTGTTTAAGTTATTTGTCAAGTGGCGTGCGAAGAAACTGGAATAACCGCTCTTTGACGATATTGTATTAGACTTGAGAACGGAAGGCTTGAGAAAGGCAATAATCCAGAAATTTGTCTCATGATTGATCCTTGTTGACCTTATTCCCCATTCTTAAATATAAACCCTGAAGCAATTTCCAAACAGAGACAATGTATTTCCTTATACTCTAAATCTTCAATGTATTTTTTTTTTGTTGAAAAAAAAATACTATGATCGAATTTCACTTGTTTCTTATTTCTAAGTACAATAAGAATGGGCTAAATTTACAGTTAGTTCTGTATAAACGATCTTTGAAAAAAAATCTTAGAATCCGCCTATAAGGTTATAACTCGTGTATATGCACACCAAACCAGCAGAAATCCTCTTTATTTGATCTGATTGATACTGAACAACCAGCCAAACATGGAAAATTATTGATACTTATTCTCGCCCCCTGTTTGAATTGCTCTGAATTCACAAAACATGGGTGTCATACAAGAAGTAGAGTCAAACACAAAGTAGAAACACATGCATCAAACATCCCATATGCAAAGCTGGTCTTGTTATTATAACACCAAATACCAAGGAAATGAGGCACCATTAGATTCAGCATTTCCAGCAAGAAGCTGCCACAATTGGCTTTGATTTCCACCCAAGGACCAAACAACCTTTCTCCTCCACAACAGTATAACCATCACAAACCTGATTCTTCTGAAGCCACTGCTTGGCCTGACTCACCATCTTCATCGGTGCACTCTGAAACCCGGCCCTACTCATCCTCCGGCGCCACTGGTCCACCCTCTCATGCCTCTCCATCCTTGCCGGTCCTTCGCAGCTGATAATATTCTTTATCTCTCTGCAAAATAGAACTGTTCTATTTTTGCTCTCTTAGTGTCATACTTAGGTAACATGGCATCCAAAGAGTCAAAAATGGCAGAGTAATAATGAAGTGCTTCCATGAACCTCCCAAGGAAAAAGGGTCCATTATGACTTGAGTCCTGCTCAACCATAACCAAAATTTTGGTGAGAGTTTATGAATGGTCTGAAGGACTGAGTTTAAAGCCCCACGACTCTCTTTCACTACACAGTGCAACTGAAGAATGCTATTAACCACCAGAACCTCCTCGTCATTCACGGTAATGTCATCAGTATGCAGATTTTCTAAGTTCTTTCCCACCATAGAGAACTCCAGGTTAATTCCCAAGTTATGAGCATAAAGTTCAAGTTCTTCACCAATCAACTTGAGTTTCTCAACACAAAGGCCA